ACCCTTTCCGCCAATTGCGTCCACCACAACCTTGGTGTGCCAAGTATACCCCAACGTTAGCACCTGGTCATGCCCCGCTCTTCCGCCGCTCTAGAAGATATTTCCAATGATAACCAAGCTGTTGGATGACTTGTTTAAATTCCAGCTGGAAAAGAAATTTGTACGTAGCATCAAACCTCGCGTACTCATGAAAGATTGGCCAAAGTCATCATCTATTCGATTGTTTACGCTACGCTTCCGAGAGCCTACAAGTCGTCAGACCTGAATTGGATTGCATACTTAGACCCAAGTGTCGCCAGCGAAATGAACCACCTAGCACCAGAGAAGGCAAATAACGCTCACTTGAAGCTCCTGGACGCGGCAGCCAAGTTTGCTCTTGTCCTGACATCATTGGAGACCCATCCGCCTCCCTGTCCCGTACCCGGGAATGTAGGCGTCGTGCCAGGCGCTGGCGGGCCGGCTTTTGTGACAAGGGACCTCGGCGAAGGTCAGCGTGCTGCGACGGCGGGAGGCTGGTTCCCGTTAACCCCGCAAGCTCCCACTCACTTCGCACAGGAGACTGGTGAAGTTATGGTGTGATTGTATTGGAACGCTACGGTGGAGTACTGGAACGGTGTGCGAGTTCCCTCCTATCGTCTTACGCGGCTGGGGACAAGGCCGGATGCGCAAGGAGGACCGCGTCTCGAACCTTCCTGTCGCCGCACGAGGACGGATGTCATGGAGAAGGACTCTTTTGGATCAAGATATACTCAAGCGGTGTCGTGTATAGGAAAGCGAGTTGGCGGTAGGCCCTCGTTCATTAGTCTCAGTCTTACATTTACTACCTCTTGCCTAAGCTGAGTGAGAGAAACAAACAAGAAGCTTTTTGGTGTATTAAGTTATCTTGTGCTACCGTTCCTGCCACTACTCGAGACCGTACTCCCTAAACAGCCGCGGACTACCCGACCCTAGAGGTGGTGTAGGACACTTGTCCCGTACCCGGGAATGTAGGCGTCGTGCCAGGCGCTGGCGGGCCGGCTTTTGTGACAAGGGACCTCGGCGAAGGTCAGCGTGCTGCGACGGCGGGAGGCTGGTTCCCGTTGACCCCGCAAGCTCCCACTCACTTCGCACAGGAGACTGGTGAAGTTATGGTGTGATTGTATTGGAACGCTACGGTGGAGTACTGGAACGGTGTGCGAGTTCCCTCCTATCGTCTTACGTGGCTGGGGACAAGGCCGGATGCGCAAGGAGGACCGCGTCTCGGACCTTCCTGTCGCCGCACGAGGACGGATGTCATGGAGAAGGACTCTTTTGGATCAAGATATACTCAAGCGGTGTCGTGTATAGGAAAGCGAGTTGGCGGTAGGCCCTCGTTCATTAGTCTCAGTCTTACATTTACTACCTCTTGCCTAAGCTGAGTGAGAGAAACAAACAAGAAGCTTTTTGGTGTATTAAGTTATCTTGTGCTACCGTTCCTGCCACTACTCGAGACCGTACTCCCTAAACAGCCGCGGACTACCCGACCCTAGAGGTGGTGTAGGACACTTGTCCCGTACCCGGGAATGTAGGCGTCGTGCCAGGCGCTGGCGGGTCGGCTTTTGTGACAAGGGACCTCGGCGAAGGTCAGCGTGCTGCGACGGCGGGAGGCTGGTTCCCGTTGACCCCGCAAGCTCCCACTCACTTCGCACAGGAGACTGGTGAAGTTATGGTGTGATTGTATTGGAACGCTACGGTGGAGTACTGGAACGGTGTGCGAGTTCCCTCCTATCGTCTTACGTGGCTGGGGACAAGGCCGGATGCGCAAGGAGGACCGCGTCTCGGACCTTCCTGTCGCCGCACGAGGACGGATGTCATGGAGAAGGACTCTTTTGGATCAAGATATACTCAAGCGGTGTCGTGTATAGGAAAGCGAGTTGGCGGTAGGCCCTCGTTCATTAGTCTCAGTCTTACATTTACTACCTCTTGCCTAAGCTGAGTGAGAGAAACAAACAAGAAGCTTTTTGGTGTATT